GACAATACGGACAATACGGTAATATTAAGACTTGTTTTCAAAGATTGTACCTTGAAAATCAACGTATTTTGTTTTTTCACTTTTTTCACTTAAATATAATCCAAAACGGGCGTGGTCGATAAGCAGCTAACAATATCCAGAGGGCTTGACATGAGGGGTTATCCAATAACACGAGCTAGAGTCCAGGCGAGGTGCAAACACAGTCCGAAACAGCAGGCGAAGGGTTAACTCAAGATAAACAGGCAAAAATCAGGTACCAGGAAATCAGAAAACACGGCGAGACTAAGACTAGAACTAGAAACTAACACAGGGAAAAGGCTCCGTAAAGTAGCTATCACACGATGAGCGATAAGCGCTAAACAATACTCGGCCGTTTGAAAGGGATCAGAGTGAGTGTTATATAGTGAATGTGTGATTGGTTACAGCTGTGTGCAATCAGTGCTGTGTGCAATCAGTGCAATGGATGATGGGATATGTAGTCCGGGATGACATGCAACAGTTTGTGTAGTGCTAATGGAAGGGTGACCTCTAGTGGTGAGAGAATTGAAGTTCATAGGCCGGATTCGTGACAATATTCTTTAAAACAAGTCTCAAAAAAACGTATGCAGCGTTTCTTCTCATTTAAATTTAATATACCTATTTAAAAGACCATTTAATTCATATATTATAATATGGGGTGATTACTCAAAGAATTTAAATTATTTTTAATTCTATTTAATTAAAATCTATCTATCTATCTATATCTCTCTTAAATGTTAAGTTGGATTAGGTAGAGAAAATTTGTTTTTGAAAAAATGGGCAAAATTAGTGTTTTTTTTCTAAAGATTATGTACATTTTACTTAGGTTTATCTAGATTAATTAGTAATTGTATACATTTTTATTCCTAGATATAAAGTTCCATGTAACTGATGTGCCTTTACTCTGAAATCTGAAGTAATGTTAATGTATTGAGTTTTCCTTTTTAAATGTAATTATGCATTTATTTGTATATTTTCTGAATGTAAAATAAATGTTTTGTAGATAGTCTAAAAATGTATGTGTATGTTTAAATGTGCATGTTATATGAATATGTGTATTTCTTGTCGTTGTTGTTGTTTTGTATGTGCACTGTGAATGATAAGAAAAAAAAGCCTTTTTTTTGGCAATAGGATTTTTTTGCAGTGTATTTTAGTCAGACATTTGGGATAGTTTATGTATGATATTCCAAAAAATCCCTTACAGCACCTTTAATATCATGGCCGGCCACTGAAGCTCACCTCGTTTGCACAGTTAATGCTGCTAAAGCCAGATCCGTTGATTCTGATAATGTCGTGTGTAGTGCCATGGTCAGGCGTGATGTGGTACACAGTGGGACTGGCACAGGAAGTAAAACTGAAGTAGAGACTGTCTGATATCTCATTAAATTCCAGCTGTTCTCGGAAACAGTCAGAAGTGGCCACACAAGCGGAGTCAGATGAGTTAATTTGTCGTGAAACTGGGGAGGACACAAAAGATGATTATGATGAATTTACCTACAAATTCCTTGCCATAGCTTAAACTGAAGATTGTACTTTTAAGTATTTTGCTGTGAAAATACTTATCAAAGTGTTTCAGTTGTACCTATGTTCATAGAGGCCTCTATTCCTGTCACAAACACCTGAAGCCCAACAGTGCTCTCCTCCAATGGCATAACAGTCACCACTCCCTGAAGTGTCTTCTGGTTGCCAGTGTCGATGTAACCGCTGCTATAGTAGTAAACTCCAGGAGACGTGAAACGGTAGGCAAAAAGCCCTTTTGGTAAAACACAAACATGTGCACAAAGAACAGTAGAATCAGATTTTGTTCCTCAAACAAACTGGCATCACAGCTCCAACTCTTTGTCTTCAGTTCCTTTACAGGAATACAAACTTACCCATTTACGGCAAAAAGCATTCAACAAATTAATTGTCTAACAGTAAACTGCAAAATAGTACAATACATTGTTTTCTACACAGTGACTGGTATGTATTTATGTTGGCATTATACGTAGTTAAGTAGAGAGCAGACACCTTGCGTTTACGCTTCATGAATCCTGACACAAATAAAATGCTTGTCTGCATCAGGGGTATTTAATTATATTTCCCAGAGGTCTCTAAATTTCCTTCTCATCAACAGTCAGGACAAACAAAAGCCAAACACTGTTTCAGAGACAATGTATCGTATGTGACAAGGAAAGTAATGCATATTTCACAACAATGAAATACTTCAGTCAGACAACTTTCAAGCTGGCAGCCATTAATAAAAAGTAGAAGTAATTAAAAAGTGAAATTTTATGTTCAAAATAGTATCTCCCAGACTGTTGAATTTTCCAGTGTAGAACTGCAAATTGTAATTAAATTCAATTCACATCTATTTGTATACATACTTTTACCATACAAATTATTCCAAGTACCTATACAGTATATAGAGCAGAATAGTCATTTGTGTCCAGGAAAAGTACCTTAGACAAATAAATAAATAAAAAATAACAGTACTTGGTTGAATCTAATCACGAATCTGGACCATAGTTTTTTTGCCTTATTCTACCCTCTTATTCTACTCTCTTATTGTGGTTTTGATTCATTTAGTTACATAGGGTCTCTTAATAAGGACTAGAAAATGTACATTATTAGGGAAGGACTCGTTTTTAAAATGCTGCTCAGGCAAATGTTTTTGCAAACAGTTTATGTAGTTTTGTTTGTCCTGCTTAATGTAAATTAGAATGTCGCAAATAGTTTGTGTAGTTTTGTTTGTCCTGCTTAATGTAAATTAGAATGAGCAGTGTTAACACGGATAGCAGTAGTAGTTGTTGTTGTTGTTGTTTGTACCTTTGGCAGTTCGGGTGTCTCCACTGCTGAAAGCAATGCCATCATAGTCTGTGCTGCTGGGACTGGACACACTGAAGACCCTGTAGCCCAGACCAGACACAAAAGCTGGTGCGTCCCAGAGCCAAACCACTGTGTCCCCCACTGAGGCTATTAGCGCAGATGGGCTCCAGGCGTAACCCTGACCGTACACTGAACACATATGATGTAATTAACTCTATTCAAGTGTAATGCAACACAGTCACAAATGCACATTTTATGACAACATATTATATCTAGGGATCCCACAATTTAATTTCTATAACTTTATCAGACTAGATAAATATGTTTTAGATTGCACATTAAAATTAAAAAGGTGTCATCATGACACTTTACATAATATAATATTTACATAATATTTTATTCATTTTTATAACATTTCTATTACTTTGAGATGTTATTTGTCATCCCTTTTTTATTACGTTTTAAGATTTTATTAAATTTCCATCACTTCTCCATTACTTTAAGATTTTATTGCCATAACATTGTTTTCAAGTTTAAAGTGTATCTATTTCTATGACTTATAAAATGTTTCTAATTTCAACCATTTTTTTTTTTTTCCCTTGCATTATAATGACTTCTGCAGAAAAATTTTAACAGAATATTAAACACATCTGAAATTCTAATTGGTAACAGAAACATCATATTAGCTCAATTATTTAAAAAGCGAACATCCGAGGGGCAGCACAGAATTCTAATAGCTGTCATTCAGATTTCTTTGCAAATCTGCTAGGATTTCACTGAACGTTCTGTGTAAATTCTGTGCATGACTAAATATAGCTTATCGTATAAAATATAGCTTATAACAAGGTCAACCATATTTTCATAGCTCTTTAAAAAGCCAAAAAAACTTCCGCTTAAACAGTTCTGTGGAGAATCCTGCTATTTTTCTGGCAGCTCGAGTATTTGATAAGTCATTGACATGATGAGACAGTCATTGTGCTGATAGCCATTGTTCCCCTTTCTCTGATGTATTCAGGTGTTGCGTGCGTGACGGAACAAGAGATAAAAGAGATATTACCGGGGTGGAAACCTTGGTTAGCCACAGTGTGTGTTTTATCTCTAGACTGGGTCACACACTCCAGGTGATGATCTGAAGCGGCTGTCACTCGGCATTGTCTGTCTCCTGTATGAAACACACAGAGTCATAACATTGACTGCAGGAAATGATTGGTTTCGGTGAAGAGCTGTGAAAAATGTTGAAATCAAAGTATTACACAGTAAACATGGTGAATGTTTTAAAGAATGCTGATGCATTTTTTTTCTGTTGTGGTATTGTCTTACCCAGAGTGACATTGTTATCTGCTGCGACTGGACTGAACCCAGAGCCGGTGATAGTGATGGTGGTTCCTCCATACAAAGACCCCAGAGATGGAGAGAAACCAGTCACCTCTAGAAGATACTCTATAGTGGTTTTAACGCCAGCACTGCACACAAAGAAAACAAACATGAATAACTCTAAACAGCTTCACTTTTGATAAAAATTTCATTGTAAATGCACAATTATTTGACAATTATAATATTAAATTGTAGTCTTCTACAGTTGTAGCATGATATTTTGAATACGATAGTTTGAAATCTGATGTTATAGAATACAGAAAGTGATATGAGACCTGGTTAAGGGGTAACCCTGGTTTCCGACTCTCACATGGACATTGTACTCAGCTGGGGGGAGTGTGGGTAACAGGCAGGTGATGTTTTCGTTGGTCCACTCCAGCAATTCGCATTCAGCCTCACCAATCAAAACAGAGCTGCCATTATCATGCGACTCAAAATTTGTGCCCAAGATGGTGAGAATCCTGCGTCCTTTATAACAAACGATGAAGTGAAAACGAGGTCAAATTAATTGCTGTTCTAGTAAGATTTTGAGGGGTGGGGGCAATGAGGAAGTTAGAAATGAAATTGCTGTGACTGTTTATTGTCTGAAGTGTTTAGAGCAGCTTTTAAGAACCGTCACGCTGTTGATTGTCCTTCACTGCAGCCAAACCGGCTTTTCTGATTGCGTGACATAAGCTAAAACCAGTGCAATTATCTGGCCTGCACAAAAGAGCTGGAAAGAGGTTTGTCTGGAGGCCATATGGAGGTTTACAGCTGTAACCAAGATGTAAATGCAGATCAGGACAATGGGATGGAAAGAGACACTTGACACTTGAATGTGATTTTACCTGTTTGTTTGTATCCCATGTCTTTCAATTTCATTATCTTGTCTCAAACAAGAGAAGCTAAGCATTTATTTGAATATGGAAACAGTGGAATTCACTAATTGAAGGTCGGTCCTATTTTTAGACATAATTATACTGACACTTCTATTTGTCATGTAGCTTTCTGTTGCTATCAGCAGTTCAAAGTGTAAAAGTGACTACAGGCTATTTGGAATAAAGGCAGGTGATTTGAAACAAACAAACAAACCAAAAAAATCTCATTAAGGGTCATAAATGGAGACTTGCAAGTGCCAATTGTGAGTAAAAATTGTTTTTAGTAAGTAAATAAAACTTGGTTGGTAACTTTATTTTAAAAAGGACCATAAGACATGGTTTACATTACAGTCACAGTCTGACCCTCTCTGATCTAAGAAACGTGTCTGATTCAAATCAGATATCAAACAAAATATAGGCTACAGACGGTTGCTAAAGAAAACATGTGCGTCTCCTTAAACTTCCTCCTCAATGGAAAATGTAGTATCAGGTCTTTATCTAAAATGCTTGAAGGATTTTTTCCTCCAGAACTAAATATATCTTATTAATATAATTTAAGGCATAAGGTGTGTGTGTGTGTTAGAGAGAGAGAGAGAGAAACTGTAAGAATGAATATTTATTTATTTAATTACTTTTTTTAAACACGTTTATAGAAGATGTATGCCCAGAATATTATGTATTAGTAGGTGTTGCTAAAGTTCATTTTAGATTTGCATGTACACATAATTATGGCATTATTTCCATGTCCAAAGTCTAATCAGACTGGATTTGACTACTTGTTTTTGAGTGACACATAATTGAAGCGCTATTAAAGTTGTATGTTGAAGGGATTAAATCTTTGTATGAACTGATCTGAAAGCTTGGTGATCTTTATTTATATTCTGCATTCTTGTGAATAAAGGCAAGAGAACTCTATTCTAAAAATAGAATATACCTGTATTCAACAGACGGAGTATCATCTTTCAGCTTAATCTCAGATCAGAATACAATCAGCTGTTGGCTGTTTGCAAGCATAGTATGCGATCAACTATAGGGCACCAATTCTGACTAAATGAATAGGTATTGAAAAGCATATTTGAACATCTAAAGCTATTCAGGATACTTGTCAATGTCACTGTCTGGGTTTATTATTTGCAAAGTATTACAGTTAGAAAATGTCCCAGCTTCTTTAATGATTTAAGGTCATGGGTTTAATTCCCAGGGGAATGCATGGACTTTTAAACATATCTGCCCTGAATTAGGTAAAATCTTCTGACAATGCATAAATGTTGATACCTTACCAAATACTGTTGTAGTTTGTGGGCTCACAGATGTGATTATGGCTGTCAAATTGTTGCTGTATGTGAAAAAGCCATCTGATACTGCTGTCATCTCTGCCGTGGTTAGTGTTACTCTCTGTTCACCTTCTGGCCCCTGTGTTATACACAAGATTCATAAAATTATAAAAGTTTCATAGGTTTATTTTCAGGTTGTAGATGCAGTAGGATGCAAATGCAGTAGTGTTGTAACTGTTTAGTGAATTTGCCCTGAGCAGTTCTGTTAGTAATACTAATAAAATATTATTCATAATAACTGTTATATTCAATTACAAAATTAATTTAAAAAGGTTCATAACATATTTATGATTTTAAATTTGACTATTTTTAGAAACCTTCATGGGAAATCAAGTTCTTCACTTACAGCTGGAACTACGCATCTCAGCTGGGTAAGTTCCACCTTTATAATGTTACATTGCTGAGTGCCAATGGTGACTGCAGTATTATTACTGAATCCATAGCCAGACACTGTCAGAATCGTCCCTCCTGTGAAGACACACAGAAAAAGATCAAGTAATAGTTGTAAGATATGTTGTGATGACATTGGTGAGCAGGTTTTGGACAAAACAAATCCCATATTGAAAGTAACGTGCCAGTTCAGCTTTGTTCAAATTGTTCTTCTAATATAATTTTTAATGAACAAATAAAAAGCATTTAATTTTAAAAACTAAACAGAAGCATTTTTACTAGTGGTACTAGACTTTTGTACTCTAATGTATGGTATGTATGAAAGATATATGCAAAGCAACAAATACTTCTGTAAATATATATATATATATATATATATAAATATTTATTTTACACACTACTGTGTGTAGAGAAGTGCTATGTGTACCTGCCACACTTCCTGTTGTGGGGTTTATGGAGGTCACTCCTAACAGATGTGTGAAGATAAAGCTGTTGTCATTCTGGTATTGGGCATTTCCCACCAAAGAGAAACTCAGAGAGACTGGCTGTACACCTGCAGTTGCAGGACCGACCTGGCAGGTTATAGAAGTATCTGAAACACAAATAAATTATTTGATGAGATCAAATAAATTAAATTAAATTAAAATTCTGTAATCACATCACCACTGTAAACTTGTATAATTTCTTTTGTGAAACAAAAGAAGTGAATAAGGATTAAAATTTCTGATTTAAAGTAGAATACTTAGAAAACAGTGCAAAAACCAGGTGAGCAACTTGTATGATACTTTTATGGTGCTTTGCATTCTTTTTAAAGCTTGAATCATATCATATCATAGTAACTGCATGGAAAAGCTTGACTAGTACCATTCTTAATGTCTAATTTTGTGTTCCACAGAAGAAAATCTAAATCAGCCAAACGGCTTTGAATCAACATGAGGGTGAGTAAATTATTACACAATCCTCATATTTCTTTTAAAAAAATTTTTATTTTTTTGCATTCTTTTAGCAAAAGCGATATGCTATTTGAATGCAGTTTGTCCCCTGAGAAAAACAGATTTTATGACATTACTGGGTTTTGACTTACTGGTAACCTGTAGAACAGAGCATTCCACATCTCCAGTCTTTACAGTGACGTTTCCACCATCAAAACCAGATCCAGTTATGGTAAGAACTGTTCCCAGATTGCTGGATCCTGAACAACAAATTACATCAGTAATATACACCACTAAATACCAATATGAATGGAGATGATAGCTTTTATGTGAGACTTGATCATTTTCCCCACCTTGTGTAGGAGAAATCCCGGTCACTTTTGGGGTCTTTGACTCACTCCAGGTAAAACCACAATCTCCTGAACACCATGACGGGATACCATTGATGAAAACTTCCACCTTAACGATAACAAGCACAGGAATATGCATTTCAGTTAGTAGACATCCTAAAGTAGTGTTTCTCAACTGGTTTTTGTTTCAAGATCCAGATATAATACATTAATAAAATCTTAATAAAATAAGACATTAAATGGACATTAAGTGTACATTTACATTGTGGAAAACCAATGCAAAATTGTACATTAATAAAAGAGTGATTCAGATTATTTTTAACTAGTACTGTCAAACGATTAATTGCAATTAATCGCATCCAAAATAAAAGTTTTTCTTTACATAATATATGTATGTGTACTGTATATATTTTATGTATATATAAATACACACACATGCATGTATATATTTCAGAAAAATATGTTATGTTTATATATTAAATATATTTATTTATAAATTATATGAATATAAATAAAGACATGTAAATATTTTCAAAATATATACTGTATGTGTGTGTATTTATATATACATAATAAATATACACAGAACACACACACATATTATGCAAACAAAAACTTTTATTTTGGATGTGATTAATCGCGGTTATTCATTTGACAGCACTATTTTTAATGTTTACCCTTTTCAAGTGAACTTGTGTATGTAATGGATTGTATATTGTAATGGATTTTTATAAACTACTGGAATAAAATATTACTAGGATCATGCACATTTAGACTACAGAATGCACACCTGTCTGTCTGTAATAATACAAATAATACAAAAAAAAACCTTTCATGCTTTGGTTTAGCCATAATCCTCTCGACATGCAAAATCCCCGGAACATTGGATATTCAAACAGAGCAACACAACCGGACAGGCCCTTCAACTGACCCACTACATAGCACTATTGAAATCTGCACACTACACGGCATCAGGTAACATGAGGAAAAGTCTTTAAAAACAAGCTTCATTTATATGACCAATGTATGTTGAACAAACATAATTATTGCAGTAAAAGCAGTGAGTATAAAGCACCTGTGGTTTATTTGTAGGCACACGCAGAAAGTCTCCCATAATTCTCTGTTTGAAGATGCCTCCTTGCTCAATCTTGCGTGATATCACTGAAGGGTTCACACCAACCACATTGGAAGCATTGATCTAGTTAACAAATATTAAAACATGTGAATTCAGCCAGGTATGAAATGAAGAGTCTGAGAAAATTAAGATATACTATTCAAAAATTTGGGGTTTCGAGTTGGTGAGTAGATGCCTGCTTTGTCCTAAAATATAAAAAAATAAAAATAAATTAACAAATAAAAATGTATACACCATTGTTTCAATTTGTGGGGTCAGTATGATTTTGAAAAAAAAAAAAAAGTATCTTATGCTCTACAGTGCTGCATTTATTTGATCCAAAATACTAACTAATATTGTGAAATATTATTAAAATTTAAAATAATTGTTTTCTATTTTAATATATTTTAAAAAGTCTTTTATTTCTGTGATGGCAGAGCTGGATTTTCAGCAGTCATTACTCCGGTCTTCAGTGTCACACGAACGATCCTTCAGAAATCATTCTAATATGCTGATTTGGTGCTCTAATGTTGGCGCTTTTATTATTATAATTATCAATTTTGAAAACAGTTGTGCTGCTACATTTTTTTTCTTCCCACTGGATAAAGTCTAGTCTGGCCCCACTTTTTCAATGTTGATTATGGATTGCAAACACCTTTTCATGTTGACTTTATATATTTGAAGTATATATTCAAATTGTAATTTTACGCATTTGCTTTTTTAAAATTATGCACATTTAATTGTTTAAACTAAACACTTTTATTTAAATTCCTATTAGCATTTCCCCTACAGACTTGTAAACCTCCATTTGGAGAAACTTGGTTTATTGTACCAGCACTCTGAACTCTTTCTTGCCTTTAACAGAGGCTGATTTCCAGTCATGGTGAGCCACTGGATGTTCCAGCGGTAGCCCCTACAGCCTCCAGATCTCTGCACCTGCAGCTGGCCGAGCTCTGGGATCCCCTGCAGAGCGTATTGCAGGTCCGCAGCACTGATGTCTACCGCTAGGCCTGAGAAACACACACCACACATATCAAATGAAAAACCAGTTAAACCACTTGGAAGGTTGTGGTATATGTAGTAAGGAAGGTGCAGTTCATTATTTAAATAAATTAATCTCAAGACTGAAACATGCAATAATCTGTTGTGCAACTACAAGAAATTCCATGTACTGATTTATTCAGTAGCTTCCAGCAGCTATATAGGAAAGTAACAGGTAAACCACAGACAACATGCTTACCTTCAACACGTCGGCCAAAGTACTCAACATCAAATGTTCCTGTAAGAGGTGGGCTGGCTTTTTGAGGGCGCATGATGGTGACGGTGGCGTTCCCCTGGCTTTGAATCAGTCGGTCCCCTGTGCTGTTTGGCATCTTCTGTTGGACAACAATGAAGATTGAGAAAGCTTACATGGATCACTCAACAACACAATTATCTGCAGGAAACAATTCAGTGATATAGCGATAAACTCAAATGTCAAAGACAGGAAAATATTTTGTTGTCACCCATCACCCATCATATCAGAGAGATCAGGAAGATACATCACTTCAAGACAGTCATTGTTGAATGAGTTTCAGTTGAACTTCATGTGAATTAACTCACCTCCAGAAAGCCTATTTCAAACAGTGGGACACCAAAGCCACAGTTGTAAGGAGTCGCTGTGATCTCGTAGCTGACTTGTGAAGCATTTGCTTGTTTGCTCACAGAGATGTTTGAAAAGAAATGTCCTGAACTGGCTAGAGCAGGTGGTCTTCTTCTATGGATTACAACTGAACATGTGGAGAAAGATTATTATAAAAACTTTGCAGATATATATATAATATAATTAGCATATAAATTATCCAGCGTTTTTACAACCATGTTACTCTTTTTTTTTTTAATTCCATAATTCAGAATTAAATTCATAACTTATTCCTATTCACCATTAGAATCCAAAGCAGGCATTTCATGTCCAAGGTGAACAGTGTCTATGAAGTAAACTGAGTTAGCGGCCACTCCATACACACTGAACTGAAGAAGTTTGTAGTTGGTGCCTATGTAGTTTGCCTGTATGGAGGCCAGGAGATCCACACACTTGTAGTTCCACCTGAGAATGACAATGTCAGTGTTGCTTTATACCCACAACATAATGATCTGGATATTGGTTTAATTTTGCTCTTGCATAGGCACAAAAGACATCAGGTTACTTTATGTTTATTCAGTAGATTAAACGTACTCATCCGTTGAGTCAAATAGCACAGAAATACGTATGTTCTCCTCCCGGTAAATATTCTCCTGGTAACTGAACAAAATTCCCAGTTCATTCACCAGACGCCCTTTGTAGGCCAAGCAGAGCTACGATAAAATAAATACACAAAATGACATGTGTACATTAAAAATGTACTGTAAAACAAATTTCATTAGAAAAAAAAAAAACATTTTCATCCTTGAAAAATCCATTAATGAGGATGAGATAATGAGGTGTCCGATGGTGCTTACAGTTTTGTACGTTTGTAGTAGTATTGGGCTGTAGATTGTTCCTGATGCTGTAGTGTCATTGGCATTGAACAGAATCTCAGGGTTCTTCAGAGACCAGCGGCCACAGAAAGCCTCCGAATCATTGACCCGGACCCCTCTACGGCTCAGATCACCTGAAAACTGTTTTGACAAGGAGAAATTATTACAAGTTGGACAGAAAGGTGATGTTTTCAACAAAATAACTGATGTTTATCATGTTAGAACTTCATAATATCACTTAATATTTGCAAGGCTAACTTGACTTATACATACGTGATTATGTGCTTTTGTAGGTTTGCTTACCCCTGTGGTGGTGGTCTCATAATCTCTGAAAAATTTCACATTAGTGTTTTCCATTGTTGGAATCTCTGCTGGACATTTAGCAGTGACCATCACATCTAGTGCCGAATGCACCTTTAATAAAAAACTGGATGCAACCCATCATGTAGAAAAGGAATATTTCAAAAGAGCATTCGAAATGTTTGTACACAATACTGTAAAAGCTAACATTTTATTCAATGGTAAATGTTAAGAAATATAAAACAAAGAAAAACCTCAGTTATAGAAGCATTGAAAGGCAGAGGGAGGGATGGAACTCCACCCCACAACAGTGTGAACGTCTCCAAACTGGCCTGCCCTTTCACATCCTCACTAACTGTGATGTTCGTATTCGAGTCCATGATAAAGTATTCAAGAGCCTCAAAGTTACCTGAGATAATGCCAAGATTTAAGAAAACATATTGCAAAATACTGTTAAATGTACTGTCAAACTTCACAAGCAACATAAAAAGTAAAATACAAAATGATAAAAAGGTAAAGCATAATTGATAAAAAAATAAGCTACATTATAAATGAAATATATAATATATATATAAAAAATATGTAATCTAATATGGTGTGTTATGCAGAGAATTCTGAGAACATCCTTTAACTGTTTTTTTTACTGTGAATTATAATATGACTAGTATTTTTTTTACTAAGAAAAACATTATTTTTATATTGTTTTAAAAGTATCACCATGTCATATATTTCACAATAAATTATATTATAATTTATATTTTACAATATAAATTATACAGTATAGATATTTTTTCTTCAAAAAAAAAACACAAATTACATTATTTTACTTATTTTAAAGGTGCTTAGGTGTCTTATATTTAGCCAATTATCAAATAAAAACATTAGGTTCTAAGTGAAGCATTTATACATTTTCTCATTGAAATTACACATTTTTTTTGACAGTTTATATTTTTACTGACATTCCATGTAGATCAGTAATTGGTTGTTAAAGCACATATCTCAAAGTCAGAGCCAGAGTAATCAGTCAAAGTATACCAGTCATTTTTAAGTTCACCTCTGTTAGAGTTGAATGTCACATTGTACAGTGCCTCAGTATCCAGTTCTTGCTTTGTGACTGTTACACTGTCGGGTTTAATCGTCCACAGATCATTCAGAGCGTTCTGCAACTCCATCGCTGAAGCACTAACTGAGATCGGCCCTACAACATGCAAAGCAATTCCAGTAAACATTACAAACACACAAACAAAAAAACATCTAGAGGTAAAGTGGAAAAACTAGTAGCACATGAAAACTGGACCTTTAAACTTCATCAAACACACATTCATAGATATACGTGAACTAATGCACCTGTTTTAAGACCTCCATACGCTAGAGAGTAGTATGTGTATTCGCAGTTGCTCAGAGAGAAGCAGTTGCTGCTGATTCTCAGAGTCTGCACCTCATTGACGGGGGTTACTGGCGTCCAGCCCTGGAAGCGAACCACCTAAAACAACAAAGAATTAGGCTTCCCTCTATCTTGTCTAGATCTTTTTTCCCTAAAGTGCTCCTGTGAGCTCACTTACCTGTTTTTCAGGTAGTACATTATAGTATGTACTGATGTGCTGTTTCTCATTAACAGCATCTATTGTCTGCTGGGCAGTGAAAAGACTGATCTCTTTGAAAAAGGCCACATCCACTGATGCTGCTACTGCATATTCCTGCACTAGAATCTCAATGTAGTACCTGTAGCACATTGATTTTGATGTTAGATCCAAGATTGGGACATAAACATTAATGACGTTTTGATCCTTATGTTTTTTTTTTTTTTCTTACGGTTTTCCCTTCTCCAAGCGCATGACCTCTGACATTTGGGTGTTATAGGTGAAGAAACTACCTGTGTAGTAAGGGTGATGTGCAATCTTGACCTGAAAACAAACAAAAACAAAAAAAAAGTTTAATAAAATTTAAATGTTACATTGCATTTTATACAAATATTGCATGTATTAAAATAGGCTTGTACGTTACTAACTTCTGCTTAATTGCTTACATTGATAACTACTGAAATGATCAAATGGTTTATTGATTTTACTGTACCTTATCCTGAGGAAGACCTGTCTTGCTGAAATAAAACTGGCACCGATCGTCGGCTTTGATTCGGAAATAGTAGTTGTCAGTCTCCATCGGAACAAAGAAACCACTCAGTCGTACCACAAAGTAATCAATTTCAGCAGGCCACACATAGGACAGCGAATCCACCCACTGGACAGAATACCCAGGCCTACTGGAATTATACCCCAGGACGTCCTCTAGAAGGCTTGGATTGGAGTTGTTCCACATCTCCATTTTAAATCCTCTGCCACCTACAAACACATTCATTTAACCATCATCCATTCAAGGACAATATGGTTTATAAGACTCATTTTAAATGTGTAATTTCATAACTAGTATATAAAAGAGACAAGGGCTTGTTGTCAAACTGTTTACTTCAGTAAATATTTTTCAGGGTAGATTCATGTTTCAATTTCTGTAAATGCCTTAAAGTCTTGGCTACAAAAAGCTATTGAACATGTCCACCATTACTGGCCAAGATGCAGTTCTAAATTTGTGATATTAAATAAAATGCATTTTATATAATACATGTTTTATATAACATTTATTTATTTATTTGAAAAATTAATCGCAGTAATTTGCTGTTTAGATGGATTTATGGCATGATCAAAGAAATAAATACAAAGGAATTGTTCAAACTCCGGTCATCTTGGTGTCAAATATGTGATGGGCTCTGATATGCAGTGTTTTTCTGAGAAGTCAGCTACGTGACAAACAAGAATCATGGTCTTGGTTGAGATAACGTGTGACAATGCAGCAGTGACAGAGTTAGATGTTCTCGCGTGTGAAATGCAGAATTCCACTGCCGTGCAAACACTGACTATGGAAAAGATTGTTACAGAAATATAACGTCACCATAAGAGATCTGAATATCAGATAAGGCTCTCACCAGGAAACACTGTCAAATTGGTTCTTTCATAACTTGGAGTTATGCAGGTTATCCTCTCATTTGATACGCTCTGAATCTGACACTCACGGCCTAAGGGAAAAAAAACACATTATAAAAAATACATTTTAAATAATAAATAAATAATAAAAAAAATGAATTATACATATAAAATATATTTTAATTATTTTATATGTATGTATTTTAATAATTATTATTATTCATTTTACATACCTGCTACTAAGACCATAGCTGGCTTGTCAGTCTCATCAAAGTAGCGTCCCTGAATGGTCAGTAATGTGCCACCAAATACACTGCCCTCAGAGGGAGAAACTCCTGACACCTCTGAAAAAGACCAAAAGACACAGGTCAAGTTTTTCAAAAATATCCGATTTTCAACATGCAATCATATGTTGCATTATTTAAGGAGAATAAATGTTTTTTTCGCACCTGCATATGTCTGGAACATGGCAACCTTGTTCAGTGCTGAGATGCTGAAAACCCCAAAGTCTGGCAAACTCCTAAAAAAAAGAAAATATGTATTTGATGTACTTTTCAACAGCATACTAAGACTTCTATGCAAAAAAAAAATGGTAAAGTAAAATCAATCTTCTTCTGACCTCCCATATTCACTGTCGAGAATGTAACTGAGGTTGTGATGACCTGAAAACCAAGGTAATGACATTTAATCCAACAAAAATCTATAGTGAATGAATAATTCTTGAACATCTTGATGTGTCCTCACCAACATACGTTCCAGTCATTTTACAACTCATATATCCCCATTGGCTGGTATCAGAATCCAAATAGAGGCCATACCTGAAATAAATATAATGTGCATTTATGGAGGATGCATTCATATTTAATGTTAACTTTTGGTTGAAACCAAATTGAAAAGTACTTACTTTTCATCTGAATTGGGTTTCAGTAGTTCACAAGGCATGCCTCCCATGTACGCTCTGTTCAAAGAAAACACATTAAAACAAGCACACCTCATGTCAAGACACAGCATAGATTTATCATTCAGTTATATTTTTCCATTGTGTATTAAACATTTCCAGACCTTAAAAATCTCACATTCATGCCATTGGAACTTTTGTCTGTGTTGCTTCCATATACATCGGTATAGATTCTTCCCCGCAGTGTCACCACAGTCCCTAAAGTTCATTCAGTATTTTTTTAATGAAAGGTGTTTTTCTAAACCGAAGCAGCACTGAGTAATGATAAAAACAAAACAAACTCACCTGGGGGACCTGTGAGCGGACGGATACTTTGAATGCTGGGTGTACGGGATGTTCTGGGCTGTGAAAGAAGTTTTTGGTAATATATTGTAACATTTTACAGAGAGAATAGGAGTATATGTTTTAGTAAGCAGCACAATGAAGTCTTACATAGAACATGCACCAGTAATTCCACTGGCTACCATAACAAATGGAACTTGAAGGAATTGGCATGCCATCCACGCTGACCCGCACTTCATAGTCATCTTCTGGCAGAGCTCTGAACATGATGATGCAATATAAAGCTTTCTTTGAGAATCACACACCATCAACATTTTACATAATATTATGCAGTACAGCTATTTCAAAAAAACTCAAATCTGCATATCACAGACAGACAGACAGAGCACAGTCTTAAAGGGATAGTTTATGAACAAAATAAATGCTAGGATATTTCTCAGATTATCTTCTTTTATGTTCCACAGAAGAAAGAAAGTCATACAGATTTGAAAAGACATGAGTAAATGATGACAGGATTTAAATTTTTGGATGAACTGCTATAATAAACATGTTCCACAATCAAAGGAATTTAAAAATTCAACAGAATTGTTTTTATGTAATACATAAAATAATATGATAATTTAGAATAGCACTAAAGAAAAATGTTCAAATTTTCAGATTGCACAAATAAGATTTGAGAGCTGCAGGAAGGGTCTGTTTCTCATACATATCTTGTATCTTGTATTCTTCAAAATGTTTGCTTTGGTGTTTCACAGAAGAAAACATTTTGAATTTCATTTTGAATTTCTCCCACAAGAGTTATTTCAAATCCTCAGTTTTAGAATTTAGTCAAAATTTAGATTCATACATTAATATATTGCCCTGATCTCCCCTGGTATTCACATTTGAGCATGTTAAAAATCTTATTAGGAGAGGCGCACTGACTGAATACAGTGCAATGACTGCAATCAAGATAAAAGAAAACTGTATTTTTTAGAATAAATTTATGTGATCGATTGCATACCTTGTATAACACGTGATCTGAGTGGAGTGAGTGGAGTCTTTCTCGACATCACAGGGAACAGATCTGGTGCGGGACACCAGTGTCACTGTGTTGCCAAAGTTTGGGTCATTGGCATTGAGATTAAACTGACTGGCTTGAGCAAAACCTGAGAAACAAAGTCACAGACTTTTTAAAGAACTATAATATAGCCAAAATGTGCTCAATCAGATTTAAGAACATATTGATGATTTTTTTTTAAATACCTTGACCCTCTATGGTCAGTCTCGTTCCGCCGTTGAGGCTTCCGTATTTTGGGGTCACTTTGTTGACACGCTGCGCTCCTGTCAGGACGGAGATTAGTAGGACAGTCACTAAAATCTGTTCTGTCACGCTTTTAGGATGACAACAATTATATAAATACGCAAAACCGTTAAAATGACTGAAAGAATACAAGAGGTACATAAAGCTAGTACCTGCGGAACTCCACAGTAAAATACAAACAGTGAGGTGAAGCTGCAGCCGCACGTGCCTCATCCTGATAGACTCACTGTGCGCGCGCTTCAAAGCAAAAACACCTGAACTTACTGTATCCCTTCTGCAAAAACAATATACACGTACCATGTGTTCACACTTGTCATTTGTATGTCCATTAAAAAAATGAATACATACATGAAAAATGTCAACAATATAAAATGTACTTTAAAACAACCTTTTTAGAATGTTGAACAGACCAGTATTAGTAGACTATTCAGGCTATACATTCAGTAAATATAGACTATCTAATGAATATACATTCATTTATATATCCTGAATGTATACATACATACTATATATAATTAAAGATTAATTAATGGCTTGTTAAATGAGAAAATTATAGAAATTTTGAAAAATGACTTCAAACTTCACATTGACCATAACTCAGACTCACATAGGCCTACCTGTTAAAGCTCTCTTCTGAAACCCAAACATCAGTGGCTCATTTGTTAAGAAGAGCTCACTCTTTTTATACTACCTGCCCACAGGGTGACAAGAGGAGACTTTCTTTTTTTTCTTTCACCTTTGTGTGTCAGGTGATCGTGCATTGCTGTCATTCTACAAGCTAGAGAGACATTTATTCTTTTCCAGTGTACCCTAACAAACACCTGAAACTTCACAGATAACAATGCTTTTGTAACACACTGTGCTGTAGTGTCAACATTCCTTTGATATTCATACGGTGACTAAACTGGAATATTACACTATTTGATGTCCCTTAGACGTAATCCATTTGAATGACCTAAAACAAGATGGAATGAAGAAGATCTGGACATTTGACCTGGAGATAAGGAAAAATCTTGTAATATTCAGCGATGAACTTGAGCAAAATGTGCACATCAGTCTCAATACTAAACAATTACTATAAATTTGATCATTAATATAATTATAATGAGCAATATTCCAGAGACTACTAGATTACAGATTTAGTTTATCTAATTGAGCAGCAGTAGTGTGCTGTTCATGTGCTTATATCCAAGTGTGATCTCTTTTCATCTTTGTTGTTCTATATATACCTGTAGCCCTATTTTTTATTTTTTTTGCATATAATAGGCCAAATTTGAATAGTGAAGCATGCAACAGTTTGTATGCTGCAAGAATTAAAGACATTTTCATTAGAATAAAAATAATTAATTGTGTGTACATGTAAATTAGATAAATACATAGCCTACATATATACACATTATTTTGTTGTTTGCAGTTAGTGCTGATTTGGTTGAAAATTATGCACTGTCATTGTTTATGCAAATTCACCCTTATCCAGCATGAACAGACACAGATAAACTAGCCTAAATTCTATTTTATAACGATTGAGTAGGCTACCATTAAAAATAAATAAATAAACAAACAAACAAACAAACAAACGTGAAAATCGCAAATTTTCGCAGTTTTATCTTTTTAGATTTATACAAATACAAGATAAAATGTTTAAAAAAATAGCTTATTAACATTTTTTTGTAATTCGTTATTTTTTATGTAAAAACGGAATCCGCAGAGACTCAAATTCCCAGAATCGCGTGCGGTCGGTACGTTTGAAAACTGGTCCGGGTCGACACGTAGGAAACGCGTGCATTACAGTTAAAGCTTATTTCCTGTTACTAGCAACGTTAAATGTTGGTTTTATTGGAGTCCTCGAACTGATCACTGTTTCTTTGAAATATAATTTGAATGAAATATGGCTTTACCGAATTGCTCGTTGAAGGTAAACAGAGAGCTGCTAGATCCCAGTTTTGAAAGTTACAGGCTTTCACTGGACTCTATTCCTACTTACAATGTAGAACTGGACGCAGGTGAGAAAAGAGCTTTATTTCACCTGTTATTGCCTGACTTTATTTATTATATACGCGTTTATTTAATCCTTAGCGTGACAAACTCATAAACAATCTTGTTCAAAACAACACTGTTAAGTCCACTGTCACTATAACAGTCTTACAGTCCTAAAGATGCAGTTCTACAACATGTGCATTGCTCTTCATGAATTACTAGATGTGTGCATCTTAATTATAATTTTAATGTTAGCCCAAAGCTGTCTTTTGGGCACAGAACATCACATTATCTGTGGTTTGGGATGCCTAATGATTACTTGGGATGAAGTAATTTGCCCCATCAGTAATGTGTGTCTTCTTTCAGCTGTGGCTGAGGTTAAACTGAAAGACAGTCAGTACACCCTGGATCATGTGAGAGCATTTGGTATGTACAACTACCTCCACATCGACCCCTGGTATGAAGACAGCGTCTACTTTGTGGACAGCAAGGGCCGAGTTCTCAATCTAACAGTCACATTGGTGAGTCTATTAATGTAATTTCTGAAATTATGGGTTGTAAGGGCCATATATTTGGATGAAATATATATCCATTATCCACCCTAGAGCACTTTTTTTCTCTCCCACAGAATACATGTGTGGATCATAAATGCGCATGCGTTCTTCTTACTAAATTTAATAAAAAAAGATCAGAGAAAAAACAGGGGGCTTAGGTGCCTCAAGGGGCACAGGAGGATTTAAATTATGCTATATAGTTGTATTAATTGTATGTTAATAGTCAAAAATGTAAACTGAAATTATATTTCTTTTTTTTCCTTCTTAACTATTATTTTTTAATAAAAAATCTTATCATGTTTAGTTTATTCAGTGTATCAACAGTCTCAGTTTCTGTTAATTAAAATGCTTGAAAACAAGCAACGCTGTATTTGGGAATATTGTTCTGGGCAATGGGGGGAACCTTAGAGTCAAAAAGGTTGAGAACCAATGTCCTACATAAATGGTTTGGATATGGAGATACACTAGTGTAGTTTTCTAGTATTTCTAGTTTTTCTCTACCAGCAGAGGGCATTAGTGGTTTATAGTAGTGTCTGTGAAGAAGTTTTCCTTTTGATTTTGAAAGATTTTGATTAAATATTTAGCTTAACAGTATCAGATGCATAAATAAAATATGCTTTGTTTGCTTATTATCTTGATTATTATTTTAATTATTTGGTTTATTGAAACCACAGTCATGTTCAAGATAATAGAAATCAATTACAGTGCCCACAGTGTTCTGCCTTAATGTACAGTATTTCCATATGGGTTATTTGCTAATATTAATGTTTTATTTTATTTTTGGCATTGGTGGGCATTGTACTGTAGTACATGTGTGTGCACATTCTTTTGCATAGCAGGCCAAATTTGAATAGTGAAGCATGCAACCGTTTTGATCAATTTTTAATAATGAAAGACATCTCCAGGAAAATTCTTCAAATTAAAAATAATTAGAATAAAATTGAATAAGAATATTCTAGATTACCTTCACCTAAAAATTATCCTTAAAAATTAATAATTTAAAAATAGTAATGTGATGCCTAAATTTACTTGAATTATTTAAAAATATTTTTGTTTGTTTGTTTCCATTTTAATTTCTTTAGACTAAATGATGGCATTTTAATATTAATGCATCCCTACTTCAATCTGTGCAAGGATAATTTTCTTAATTTCTTTCAGTTGTTTTATATGATGCTTTTTTGATAAGTTTGATTTCAGATGCTGTACCGTACATTCTGAAAGGAATCCAAATAATGCATAATAAGAGGAAATTCACAGATGCATAATAAGATGAAATGCAGCGTCTCTACAGGATGTTTTGTTCTGAACTAGTATAAATTTGATGCTGATGATTTGATTGTAATTTTTTCTCATTCTTGCTACTGACATGCTGGGTTAAGAAATTACTCGTTATGAAATGTGCCTGTTGCGTTATAATTACAGTTAACATTCTGCAATTATCTCTCCTTTGGGACTGTTTGTATTCTCTCAAAGGTACTAGACAGGGGGCATTTTACTTCTGGGGAAGAAGTGAAAATAGAGGGGGATCAGTGTTAATGTGTGCATCAAGCTCCATGGCAACCAAAGGCCGACTGCTGCCCAATTCTTTGGGAAAATTGCTACCTTATAAAGAGTGTAATTGATGATTATTAAGGTCATTGTAATCCTTTTCAAATTGCTGGCTTTGAAGTTCAGCAACATGCAGTTTGTGTGGCACTTATTAGTTTCATTTCTAAATTGTTTCATTGGCTGATGTCTCATTTGTTGCACATATGTTGTTTAAAAGATCTTTGGCAAGACATTGACTCTAAAGCCCTTGAAAGGAACATAATAGTTATGTGATATGTGCACAGGATTCGAGTTGATGTTAACTTCGGATTTGTTGCTTCATTCGTTGACTTGCTAGTTTAATTAGCTAAACTTTATCTGAACTGGTAACCAGAAAGCTGTCATTCATAACCTTTATGGATCGATCAGTGAATGTTTCCTATTGTAACTGCATGCATTTCTTTTTGCAGTTTGCAACATTATGAGCCTCCAAAATACATGCACAGTTAAATGACGTCTACAAGAAAATGCCCCCTTTAGTACTCTGTTTTCTGATGTAGAGATGGTCTAGGTGTGGTTTTCAGAGACTGAAGAATTGACAAGTGTCCATCAATTGTTTTTCCAGGACACAGCCTTGGGCAAACCTCGTGAGATGTTCCGTTTCGAATCAGACCCAATCTCCTGTGAGGGGGAGCAGTTGTGTGCTTCTCTGAGCCTGACCTCTGCAACTTGGGCCGCGCTCTCCGACGGAACCGGAAAGTTGACTCTTTTGCGCACAAGCAAGAGGGGTGAGAGTTCACATATTAAATGGGAGGTAGGAGAAGATTACCCAGATTTTGGCTTAACATTTCCCACTAATCAAATTATTAGTCTATAATTGTTGGCTTAATTCATCTGCTATTTTCCCATGACATTTTGGAAGACGCATTGTATACGGCTTTATTTCACTCCCAGACGATGTTCAGAGAGCGTCTAGGAGAGCCGTTCATCATCGTTCACAGCCTGGCTCATGTGCGCTCTTATGTTCATACCATTGAAGTGCTGCTTCTGAGAGTCCAGAAAGATCCATCTGATACCAAAGGCAGCGGTTTCTCAATCTCACTGGAGTGGATCATTGTGGACAACTCTGCTGGGCAGGGTGAGAGTGAGTGTCTTCCTGCTGTTCAATGATTTCAGCTCTTACTTTTAACCCTGAGCTTTCTTTTGTCAGTTGCTGCAGTGACAATGTATCTCAGGCATTTGTCTGCATAAGTAAACCAAAGAACGTATTTACTCCCATGTCTTAATACATAGTTCACTTGTTTGAATTTTCAATTCAAGTAAAATTATATCCTGTGGCTCAGTGGTAGAGCATTGCGTTAGCAGCGCAAAGGTTGTGGGTTCAATTCCCCGGGAACGCACATACTGATAAAAAATGTATAGCCTGAATGCACTGTAAGTCGCTTTGGATAAAAGTGTCTGCTAAATGCATATAATATTATGAGCAGTTTAAGTGAAAGTTTAATTGAATTGAAAGCATTTTTTAAAGACATTTTGGAAGTCATTGTATATAAAGACAGTATAAGGAAATATGCACAACCATTGAAAAGTTTGGAATTGTAAAACAGTAATAATATATACATGCTTTTTTTTTTATTTGAATATCTTTTAAAATATAATTTACTGTGATGGCAAAGCTGAAATTTCATCAGACATTACTCCAGTCGTCAGTGTCACATGATGTTTCAAAAATTATTCTAATATTTGGTGCTCAAAAACATTTCTAATAATTATCAATGATTTTAACAAATAAGATCTTACTGACGTTAAACTTTCAAATGTATAATAACAGCATTATTGTGTACACATGATAACAGTGTATGTATTTACTTAACTATATAATAGGTGTATAAATTAATATTTTCGGTTGTTAAAGATGTCATGAAAAAGGAAAAAATACAGAATGTGGAAAAATAAATACAGCTTGTAAAGTGCTTTCTTTCTCGCAGATGAGGAGAGGAAGTATGGTGTGAGGAAGAGGATGATGATGAAGGGCAAGTCTGTCCCGCACTACGCTGCCGTGGAGCCTCAGGGTAAAGGAATCGTAGTAGCCTCAGAGAAACCCTTCGCTTTTACTGAGGTGGATGGACTTCCGCTTGAAGAGCCACCTGTTGAGGCTATGGAGGTGGAGAACTCAGGTGAGAACGAACAGCCAGGAAAACAGAAGGTCATATTGGCAGAAACATATTTCATTCATGCTAGACAAAACTGTGGCCAAAACATTGGCTTTTTTATTGTGTGATTTGAATCAGTCCCAAATATTCATCTGAACTTGAAAGTAAAATTTCACTCTAGATTGCACTTTGACAGAATTCGGAAACCTGCAAAAAAAGACATTTGAAGTAGTCACCAATCAACCTAGAAACTCTCAAGTGCTGCAGTCTTGAGGAAGCGCACTTTCATATAATGATTCAGAGGCTTGCTGTAGCCATAGAAACATCAGAACGAATCATTCAAATAGAATTCCTCAAATAGACTCTGATGAGGACTGGAGAGGACCATGCACTTCTGCACAGCAGTGGTCATTGGTTGTTCATTTTTCAGTTTTGGCAAGGAAATTTATGTAAAGTAGGCTGGCTTGTTTTATGTAAATACTTGTCAGCTGCGTGACACATTGGTATGAAATGCATTTAGTATCCTTTCTGTGACGAAACGAAGCTTGATTAATAGCATGTTTTTCTTGCTGTCATATATTGGATCCTGTCATAATAACTTGTGCCTCATTTTCATTAGTGTTTGACATTTTCTTTAGGTCAGAGAGTGCTAATTGCAAATATTGCCTCATTAGAGGTGGACGATAGAGTCCTTTCAGTCAAATATTTGTTTATTTCCTTATTTTCCTATTTTTCCCGTTTTTATGAAATGTTCCTTCCTTTCTGGCAAAGCTAAAACGGTCAATGATTGAAATCACCAAACAATAAGCTTATAAAACCAAAATCCCAAACATATCAACAGGACGTTTTTTATACTTAAACTCATCTTATCCTCTTTCTCTCATTTCCTGTTTTCCCTCTAACACCTGTATTAGCCAGATGAGAATCTGTGAGAAAGGGAACTTTAAAAAGGCCATTTGTTTCCTATGCACCCTTTGAGCTTTTTTCTGAGAAATAAAGGAGTGATCTCGGCTCATCCTCTTCCTCTCTCTCTCTCCCATTTTAAGAGGCTGAGAGTACTGAGAGACTCCATTGGTAGGCGGATAAAATGGAGGTGCATTAGCTTGTTTCTGAAAGAGAGGTCGGCTTTCCTTAGCCACAAAAGACACACGCACACCAGGCATTGATATTCCGTTGATTTAAGGGTACATGAAGAAACCAAAGCTTATACGGTGAACACTGTTATGAGAGGGTTGGGGAATCAATGAAGTGTGAATTAGAAGTCTTTCTAGGACATACTGAATCGATACAATTTTATATCAGTAATTATGTAATGCACACACATAGACACAGTGCTTGATACAATGCCTGTCTCCTTTTTTGTGTCGAAAAGATGAGCTTAGATATTCTTAAAAAAAAAAAACTTGGAATGTCATAAGGGTGAGTAAATAATGACAAAAAAATATTGTCCTTCATTTGATACAGGAACCATTCGAGCTGTTCATGCCAGACTGGGGAGAGAGGTGTTGTAATAATGTAAAATATGTGAAAAATAATGTGTTTTTCGAACAACCTAGTATGAGAGACTGTTCTAGTACATCCCCCAAAACAAAATCAAGACTTTGTAAAATTCTGCACAGCAGTGGTCATTGGTTGTTCATTTTTCAGTTTTGGCAAGGAAATTTATGTAAAGTAGGCTGGCTTGTTTTATGTAAATACTTGTCAGCTGCGTGACACATTGGTATGAAATGCATTTAGTATCCTTTCTGTGACGAAACGAAGCTTGATTAATAGCATGTTTTTCTTGCTATCATATATTGGATCCTGTCATAATAACTTGTGCCTCATTTTCATTAGTTTGACATTTTCTTTAGGTCAGAGAGTGCTAATTGCAAATATTGCCTCATTAGAGGTGGACGATAGAGTCCTTTCAGTCAAATATTTGTTTATTTCCTTATTTTCCTATTTTTCCCGTTTTTATGAAATGTTCCTTCCTTTCTGGCAAAGCTAAAACGGTCAATGATTGAAATCACCAAACAATAAGCTTATAAAACCAAAATCCCAAATATATCAACAGGACATTTTTTATACTTAAACTCATCTTATCCTCTTTCTCTCATTTCCTGTTTTCCCTCTAACACCTGTATTAGCCAGATGAGAATCTGTGAGAAAGGGAACTTTAAAAAGGCCATTTGTTTCCTATGCACCCTTTGAGCTTTTTTCTGAGAAATAAAGGAGTGATCTCGGCTCATCCTCTTCCTCTCTCTCTCTCCCATTTTAAGAGGCTGAGAGTACTGAGAGACTCCATTGGTAGGCGGATAAAATGGAGGTGCATTAGCTTGTTTCTGAAAGAGAGGTCGGCTTTCCTTAGCCACAAAAGACACACGCACACCAGGCATTGATATTCCGTTGATTTAAGGGTACATGAAGAAACCAAAGCTTATACGGTGAACACTGTTATGAGAGGGTTGGGGAATCAATGAAGTGTGAATTAGAAGTCTTTCTAGGACATACTGAATCGATACAATTTTATATCAGTAATTATGTAATGCACACACATAGACACAGTGCTTGATACAATGCCTGTCTCCTTTTTTGTGTCGAAAAGATGAGCTTAGATATTCTTAAAAAAAAAAACTTGGAATGTCATAAGGGTGAGTAAATAATGACAAAAAATATTGTCCTTCATTTGATACAGGAACCATTCGAGCTGTTCATGCCAGACTGGGGAGAGAGGTGTTGTAATAATGTAAAATATGTGAAAAATAATGTGTTTTTCGAACAACCTAGTATGAGAGACTGTTCTAGTACACCCCCAAAACAAAATCAAGACTTTGTAAAAGAGCATAATAGGACCCCATTAAACATTTTAGAATATTTTATATTTATACTCACTTATTGATGTTAGTCATTTTTAACCCCAAATCTTTTGTAATTAAATTTGATTACCTTTTCGATATTTCTTTTCCTTGAGAATTTAAAAGTCTGTTTTTGCTACTGTACCTTTAAGACCTCTATTATGTAAATTAACCCTCTACCGCATGGTGTGGCCATATGGCAACATACTCTTTGTGTTTATTTCCTTGCCACTCTCTCTTTAAGAGAACATTCTCGTTTTTTTTGTTGGAAAGAGAAGACCTTAGTTTAATGATGTGCGTGCTTTGGTTAAGTCACA